GTATAATTCAAATTTTGACGAGATTTTATGTTAATATATATCCTAAATTATAAATAAATGTACTTATAATTGATTCTATCCTTTGTTCTTTCCTCAATATGATCTGATAAAGTATGACATTTTCGTGAACACTGAAATTCTAGTAATTCGATAGGTTACTTTCTAAAGACTCTGCCGAAAGCATAACTGCGAATATGAGTTAAATGCCTATCAGAACTTATTTATTAGGGTATAAAAAACATATTTATTTTAGTTTTATGTCATTCGAGTACTATTATATATTAATAAATATTCACGACATATTCGACTATTAAAATTTTCTTACTTCAATATTCAAACAGGAAGAAAGTTTGTGGATTAGAATGGATTAAGGTTTGCTCTGCGCCATTTGATAGGGCAAAGTGTCTAGATTTTGGCTATATATGATCATTCATCCCCTTTCGTCCCTCTTTTTGACATAATTGACCTCAAAGTTCACTCGACATGGTCGAACGTCGTCCATGAATAGCTCAATGGACGACGTTCAATCATGTCGAGTGAATATGGATGTCTATTTTCTCATAAAAGAAAGACAAAGGGGGATATATAATTTGTTTAATTATTGCTATTTTATAACGATTAATTTCATCCATATTTTATAACAATTAATTACATTAATTAATATAATAGCAATATGATAAATATTATTGGATAAATGTATTTGGAGTACTGCGCATTCTGTAAATCCTTGGGCCAATAAGATTGCTCTACGTTATATTATTTGTTCTCCTCGAGGAGGGAGAAGAGAGGGGGAGGGGAGGGAGGAGGAGAGGGGAGGGGAGGAAATAAAAACAGCGAAGATAAGAACTTTTCGTCAGTCTTTTTCGATCAGTACTTGATTAAAGACTTTTTGATTTTGAAAGTTTTGATCGTTTTTGTCGAAGTTTTTGTCGTTGCTTTATACAATTCACTTTGCGTCCTTTTCAGGATACAGTGAAAAATATATAGAATATATAAAATATATAGAAGATTATATGGGCGGCGGTGTGGTCTAGTGGTAGAGCGCCAGACTCGTAATCTGAGGAACCAGGTTCGAGTCCACTAGAGCCATGAATCATGGAAAAATTTTTTTCTGAAAAAACCGCGCCCCTCTGTACAAGATGCGGAGAAAACTGGGCTCCGTCTTTCGGAAGAGACGTTAAACCGTTGGTCCAAAGGAGGAAACAGTAAGGTAGTGGATGAAAATTGGAGGTTAGGGTTGGGTACGTCCCTTCAAAACGCCCTTTAAGGCCTCTTGGGGTATATAAAGTAAAATTCTTTATCTTTTATATATTCTTTATCTTTTATATAGAAGTAACACGCTCGCAAAATGGAAAATTTCCGAACAAATCGTCAACTTTTTAATTGTATGCGTGCAAATAATCTTGATTTATCAAATTATGAGGCTTTAATAAGCCACATAATATCATGTATTGATACTGAATTACCCAAAATTGCGTTGGAAGCATTGAAACAAAAAATCATAAATTTCACGAAGAATTTAAAGTCAAAATGGATAGCTAGCCATTACGATTACAACAGATTTATTGCAAAGCATGAAAGTTGGTTAAATTGTGAATTTTCTTTTCCGAACAAAGTACTGAATTTAATTTCTACTTCTTCACGTACGCGTATGCTTCTTAATAGATCAAAGAGTTTCGTAGAATGTTCCGAACGACATAAAAAAAAGAGAACTGAGGAAGTACGGAATAATCCGGAAATTACTGATTTTATTGTTCGGAAAAAGTTAAAATCCGATGACGCGCTATTTATATATAATTTTATCCAGAGACATCTCGAACATGTCAAAAAGATTAGACAATTCTGTGAAGAAATTGAAAATGGAACAGATTTGATTGATAGGGATTGCATTAAGTACGACTTCAAAAAATGGAGGTTCTATATTCGGCATGTATGTATGTATGTATGTATGTCTACGATTTTCTTTAAAACTGCTGGACGGATTTAAATGCGGTTTTCACTGTCCTATAGAGCAATTCTCCAGGAAGGTTTTAGTACATAAAATATCGCGCTAAAACATCAGGGTACGGAGCAGTAATGAAATATGCGATAATAATTATTTATATTAATTTAATAAAGCACTAAAGAAATATAAAATAAAAAAATTTTTTTTAAATATAACCGATTTTTCAAAAAAAACTAAAAAGTATTTAAAAAATTAAAAAATCATTTATGCGCTTTATAAAAAATTGTTAATTAAATAATTTTGATTTCATACACTAAATGTATAATAATCGTACATTATTTATGTCAAGTTTCAAGTCATTTCATTGAAAAATGTAGAAGTTATAAGCAAATGACCAAAAAATGAGGCGTTCGCCCCACTGTGCGGCGTGCCTATGGATCTAAAATGCCGCAAAGCGTATCGTAGACGCTCATCGTCGCGTCGTTCCGCGTACGCGCGTATACGCGCGTTGTCGCACCTCGCCTCGCGATAACGCGCGGCCACGCGCGGTAGCGCAACCGCGTGTTAAAACCGCCTCGTGTGAACAGGCTCTAAGGCCGGTATTCATAGTCAGACCTTATTTCAAGATCGTCTTAAGTAATATCTTAAGATGCTGATACGGCTCTGTGATTATTGGTTCATAACATCTTAAGATCGTACTTAAGACGATCTTAAATATAAGATTCGACTATGAATACCGGCCTAAGTGTAATATCTGACAAATAACTGATTTGTAGAAATATACACAAAGTATACAGATTAAATAAATTTATATTTGAATCAACAAGATGGTGCATATGTAGTAACCATGATAATATTAACTGTGCCGTTGACTTGCTTTAAGTATTTTACGTAGTTGCCGTACTTAAATTAACAGCATTACGCGTGTCAGGTGTTACAGTTAAATATTATTGAATCATATGCATTTTTTTTATCTAGAGAAAATAGAAATGTTTTCATATTGATACATATTTGTTTGATACGATTGAAACATGTACTTATAATATCTTGTCTATATATGTACACAAAGATATTAAGGATTACACGTGTCGATTGCATCGAGTATTTGTATAATTAATATACACACATTTCTATTTCCTCTAAAAAATCATTGCACATAAATCAATAATATTTAAGTGCAATATCTGACAAATAACTGATTTGTAGCAATATACACAAAGTATACAGATTAAATAAATTTATATTTGAATCAACAAGATCGTGCATATGTAGCAACCATAATAACATTAACCGTACCGTTGATTTTCTTTAAGTATTTCACGCAGTTGACGTAACAGCAGATGTAGTTACATAGATTACATGGTATTCAATTATACATCAAGAAAGTTATTTAATTCATATGTAATTATAATAAAGAATTATGTGTTTGGGATGAGTAGATATATGATTGATATAACGATATATTCCAACTACAATGATATTAATTGGACCAAATATGGATTATAAATTGACTATCTGATGCATTTCGTTCATTAATATTGATGTTGAATCAACCAATTTTATTTCAATTACACTGATGCTGTTGATACAACATCATTTTTTTCGTGCGCTCGCGCCCTGCGACAAACAGGGACCGATATTCCCATTTTCGGGCTATACCAACGAATCACTTCGTACACAGCCTCTCAAATAAAGCCAGCCGCAATGTGGTCGCATCTACGCGATTTACCGTTAGCAGATCCCGATCCCTCTTGTAATCACCCGATTCATGTACTAATCGGCGCGGATTTATACGGGTCGTTGCTGCTCGACGGCCTCCGTCAAGGCCCGGTCGGCACCCCGACGGGCCAGCTTACTGTTTTCGGGTGGATCGTCTCCGGTCCTACCGGCACCGCACACCCAGCCGGAGAGTCCGCTCCCGTTTTGAATTGCGTATCCTGCGAGGATACGAATTCCTTGATTCAAAGTTTTTGGGAGGACGAAAGTATCCCCTCTCAAAATCCTCTCACCGAAAAGGAAGAACGTTGCGAAAATCATTTCGCTAGTACGCATTCTCGCGATTCTCAAGGACGTTACATTGTTCGTTTGCCGTTCAAGAACGGCCCCCCTTACATAAGCGAAACTTTTCGAAAGACTTCTTTCTTGTACTCCAAAATGGAGCGCCGACTCTCGCAGAAACCCGAGATCGCCGCTCAGTATCACGATTTCCTCAAGGAGTACGAATCCATGGGGCACATGGAGAAGGTACACGCCGACGAGCCCTCTCGATACTCCCCGGTGTACATTCCGCATCATTTCGTTTTACGCGAATCGAGTACGACTACTAAATTACGCGTCGTGTTTAAAGCCCGTATCACACTAGCGGATCGCGGCGCGACTGCGATTGCGTCTGCGATTGCGACTGCGATTGCGATTGCGACTGGCTACTGTCCAATCATATTGCAGCTGCCGCGGTGGCGCAGTTTACGCTTTTCGTTGATTGGAATTCGTGTGACCTGTCGCAACAGACCGAACAGACCAACGGAAAGCCGGTTGTTACTTTTGTTACATGCCATTACATGCGATAATATGCGGCGTAGCTTTTCTCTCAATACCTTTGCCGATGCCGCCGTGTTGTATCTCCTGAAAGAAAGGCTAACTGAGTAAAGGAATCGTTTTCCTGATCGCCGACATGGAGCTCACCGACGACAATTTGGTAACGTTGAGCGAATATCAGAAACACACACTCTCAGCCCAGACGTGAATGTCAAACGTCCAGGTTGGTATAACCTACAAACTTATTATTTTTGTGATATTTTAAACATTGTACGCGTGTCGTACGTTAATATCCAATTTATATTTTAGCCGAGAAAGTTTCTGGAGTCGGTGGAAGTCAATCAGAATTATCCTTTACTACTACTTCATTTGGTGGACAAATCTGAGATTAACATCACGATTAGGATTGCCGGCGCAATTTAAAAGAATTATGTTAAGCGCAACTGGAAAGTGGTTGGGTTTATATTCATTTATTTATTTCAATGTTCTTACATCGTATGTTAGTTTACTATTGCAGAATGTTATTTTAGGAGGAGGATTCAGTGGATCGTATACATGCCCAAGACAGAGATGCCGTCAAGAAACTAATCGTTAATCTGATGTTACATTCACCAGATTCGATACAAAAGCAGTTGTCTGATGCAGTATCTATTATTGGAAAATATGACTTTCCGAACAAGTGGCCAGAATTGATTGATCAGATGGTAGAGAAGTTCAACACGCGATTTTCATGTGATCAATGGAGTCCTACACACGGCGCATTCCTTATTTAAGAGATATAGATACGAATTTAAAAGCGAGAGCTGCGGCATCGGCAAAGGTATCGAAAAGCTACGCCGCCTATGGACAGAAATAAAATTTGTATCAGATAATTTTGCCAAGCATTTAACAAATCTGTTTTTAATAAGTATCTATGTTTTATTAAGTTGCGTTGCATGCATTAAAAATGCATGTATTTTCAAAGATGGATATTTCTAAATAAGATATTTTGCAGGTTACAATGAATTTAACGCAAGTACATGCTAATAATATGGAAGCCTTGAAGGTTATATATAATTCCCTAGTTATTTTATGTAAAGTTTTCTACTCTCTTAACTTTCAAGTAAGCATTTATATGTATACGTGTATATAGTAGGAATTATAAGTAGGAATTTATTTCTACAAATTATATTATTTTATTAACACATCAGGATCTACCAGAATTCTTCGAAAATAATATGGAAACTGGCAAACCCGAATCTCTCGATGTGCTCTTCCCGCTGTGCTCTTCCCGCTGAAGAAGGACATCGACAAGAATAAGGATAAGAAGGAGATAACTGTGATCGTGATTGGTAATTGAACGACGAAAACCGATGCCGGGTTGAATAACTTGGAGAACACTGTGAGCAAAGCGGCTAACTGGTGCACCAGAGAGAAAGTTAAGCATTACGAGGTGAATATCATGAATAGACCTACTCTATTTGAGGCATTCGTGCATTTGTCGTCCAAGCTTAATTCTCCCGCTAATAAAAGGTACATTTTCGCAATTAAGTATGGGTAGGAAGATTGTCAAGACCAAAGCGCAGTGCTGCTTGGTTAGAAATTTAATCAATGTTGATTCGGATAACAGCAATATGAGTCCCTTGTGAATTTTGTACTCAGATATAATGTATTTAACGATAGTTAAACGCTACAATAAAGATATGTTTTGAGATCTCAATGGTACATATATACTTTTCTGTTAATTTTTTTTAAGTACAATATTACATAAGTACAATATGAAAATAAGCCATAGAAACATTCTATGTATCAAATAAGTGTTCTCTATAAAATAAAATACATGTTCATGTATTGTAACAAGTTCTCTATAAAATAAATTAACACTTGTTTAAATGTCTCACTATAATAGATAATATCTACTTTATCTTTGAATAAGAAAAAAATAAAAACTTAGGTATTTGCATTACAATGGCACAGCCGAAAAAAAATACTTATTTAATAACTAATTACTTAATTTTAAACTCTTCAAAACTGTGCTAACAGTTTCAAAATTTCGTCTTCACACTTTTTTCGATTCTCCAGAGATAATGAACGAAGCCTGATTTCTAAGAATAATGCCAAAGTATGAGCTGAATCATTAATTTCAGGTTGAGGAAGAGATAAAACTGGGTCAGGTTGAGCCATCTGTTTCAAGGCACCTACAGCCTCCTCCATTATTGATGATTGTTTTTTCGTTTTCAATTCTCTCTTATAAAATAATTGCTCTTGGTTTTCTGATGATCGCTTGTTGGATACAGTAACAGGATTTTGTTGTTGTTGAGAAGATTGAGTGATGCTGCTGAGTGCAGAATTAGATGCCAGCCTTGGGAGAGATTGAGGTGACGGACTCTTTTCTGGTAGAGGTGCAATTGGTTCAAAATCGCTACATGCAGATACACTAGAAGAATTTGGATCAGAAGATGTCAAGTGTGTACTTCCTACATTTACTTCAGGTGGAATTATCGCAAATTCCTGAAAAATAATTACAGATACATATAGAATTAGTTTCTGTACTGTGATTTACCGAGATTGTAAAAATATCATTTTTACTTCAAAAAAGAAATAAAACAAAATAAAACAAAATAAAAAGAAAATAACATAATGACGATTACTTTAAAAAATAATTTACCTGCATTGCTTCATCATGGTAGATAAGTGGTGTATTTTGTGTACATGATGTGTTATCATTCGCTTCATTACTGATTTGTGAAGATTCTGAATCTGATGCTGCAGTTGTCTCTAGCTGGATGGGGGAAATATTTGATTGTGAGTCTCCTTGGATACAACTCTTTTGGAGAAACATTAATCTCTCAAACATGTGCCACTTGGGCTTGTATATATTGTCTGTGCCAGCTCCACTGCGCTTTGATTCTTTCATAGCTTTTAAATTTCTTGCAAACGTATCCTTCATGTTTCTAAAACGGCTTGATACAACAGCACCTGTAAATAGCATCAATAAAAAGCCTATTACATAAATTTATTATTTTAATTCTGCATAACTTTAACTTATTAATATATTTCCTACAAAAAATTGTAATTCTTTAATCCACTCCAATATAAACTATAAGAAACATTAATATATATATTAATTATTCATTAATTATAGGTTATGTTAGTTAATATTAAATTAATTATAATAAATAAATAGCTGATAGTATTGAACCGATTCACTTCTGATTGTAAGACATACCTGTGAAATCTGAACCCAACTGCTCGGCTATTTCGTCCCATACTGCAATCTTAAGATGTGTTCGTCTGTACAAGTGGCTTGTACAGTCCCAAAAAAGTGGTTTTAATTCCACAAGGTCGATCAGACGGTAATCTGTCTCTTTCGAGAAATTATGTTTCGGTGGCATTGTGTGACTTTCTATCTGCTTCAATATCACAGATGTTCAATATTTGTTTTCAACACGGTCGTATACACGTGGTTTTCACGCACTAGCACCACATTGCACCACGTGACCAAATCGGATCCTGTGATTGGCTGCGACTGTGACTGCGACTCGAAAAATGGATTCAAAGCCAAAAAGCAGTCGCCAGTCGCAATCGCTGACAGCTACCTTTTTGATTGGCTGAAATAGAATCGTAATCGCAGACGCAATCGTAGTCGCGGCCATATGGGCTTTTACCAAACGGCAGTCGCCAGTCGCAATCGCTGACGCCAATCGTAATCGCTGATAGCTACCTTTTTGATTGGCTGAAATAGAATCGCAATCGCAGACGCAATCGCAGTCGCGCCGCGAGCCGCTAGTGTGATACGGGCTTAACGCGTCGAGCAAATCGGACGATAAAACCACTCTCAATGATTTTCTAATGGCGGGTCCGGAGCTACAACAAGACATCGCGGCGATAATTTTACGCTGGCGACTATTCCGTTACGTATACATGACGGACATCGCGAAGATGTTCCGTCAGGTACGCATGCATCGGGACGACGCGGATTTCCAAATTCTTTTGCGCCCTCTCGAAAGTCTGTTGATTCGACCTTACCGCTTGCTCACCGTGACTTACGGCCAAAAGCCATCGCCATTTCTCGCGCAGCGCTGCCTTCTTCAATTAGCTCGTGACGAATGTAAAGAATTTCCCGACGCGGTTTCCATAATCGAAGAATCGACCTACGTCGATGACGTTCTTTTCGGAGCAGACGACCTTCTGTCGCTGCTCGAAAAACGCAAGCAACTTGTCGGCATGATGAATCGCGGATGTTTTTCCCTCCGAAAATGGGCCGCGAATTCCGCCGAACTCTTGACGGATATCCCGGAGGACCAACGTGAATCCTCGGACTATCCGATCAATCGCGATGACACACTCAAGGTCCTCGGCCTGTCTTGGTCCCCGCTTGACGACTCGTTTAGTTTTGTAATCTCGCCTTACGCCGTAACAGTTTATACTAAACGCTCCGTTTTATCATTTATTGCAAGGTTATATGACCCCCTCGGATGGGCGTCATCGATCGTCATCGCGGCCAAGATGTTGATGCAAGAGCTCTGGCTCCGTAAAATTGATTGGGACTCTCCTATCCCGACGATTTTTTACCTCATTGGATTAATTATTTTACGGATTTACCTCATATTAGTGAAATACGCATTCCCCGATAGACAGGGATGCGTCAAGATAAACTCGAAGTCGAATTACACGGATTCGCGGACGCGTCCATTCGAGCTTACGCCGCGGTCGTTTACCTCCGAATCGTGCATTCTACCACGAATATTCAGGTTACCCTCCTTGCAGCCAAAACGAAGGTCGCGCCGTTAAAAACCGTCAGCGTTCCCCGATTAGAACTGAACGCCGTCGTTCTATTAACTCGGTTGTTAGATTGGGTAAGAAATTCCCTGCGCTTTCCGCAAGCTTTATTATTCGGCTGGACTGATTCCCAAATCCCATTGGCATGGATTCAGCAACATCCATCTAGATGGAATTCCTACGTCGCGAACCGCGTCTCCGAGGTGCAGACGCGCCTTCCGTCAGTACGTTGGCAGCACGTCCGTTCTCACGACAATCCTGCCGACTGCGCTTCTCGCGGCTCTACTGCTGTCGACCTCGTCCACCATGAATTATAGTGGTTCGGGCCCCCGTGGCTTAGAAAATCCCCGGCCTCGTGGCAGAGATGTCAATTTCGAGGTCCTGCCCGCTGCCAGCACGCGTGGAGGGGATAGCTCGGCCGGCTTCGGACGATTAGAAGAGCGCAGACATACATATCTGCCGTCTCTTTCTTCCCTGAGCGGCTCGAGCGCCGCTGTAGACCGTAGGCGCCGTAGCATTAGGTTACCGACTTATCTCGCGCGTTTATTGTGTCTCGCGTATCTCCACAGATGATAATAAAATATTGTAAGATATATATTAATGATGATAATACAGATGATAATAAAATATCCTTTCCCATTCTAGGCGCGGGATACTATCGTGTCTCTTAATTATTGTACAATTAAAAGCATAAAGTTAATTAAAATAAAAAATTTATCAATTAAATATAAATTAGTGAAATTATAATTTATTCTGTAGATAAAAGATGAATTAAGTAAAGAAATAAACAGAAAAAGCGTAAATAATAGAAATCCACTCTTGGCCAATATGTACGCGTTTTTCTAAAAAAAAAACATGTTATTAATTTAGAAAATAAATTATTAGTAACATAAGAAAAGTAAAATTAAATTAAATTTATATTATTTGTTTTGGAAAAATTATTTTGATAGTATAATTACTTTGCTAACAGTATAATAAATACATGTAATAACATAAAAAAAAAATTATTATATAATGTTTGCAACATTATTGTATATCTGTCATAAATAAATGGGCAACGTACATATTGTTGCTCAACGGAAACCGCGAGAAGGTGGTGGTCTCTTCCGTCAAGAGGAAGTGTAAAAAATGTTTTCTTTAATATTAAAGAAAACAATTTTTTACATTTCCTACAAATGCAGATAGAAAAGAGAGAGAGAATCAGAATCAGAATCAGAATCATCATTTATTAGACGCTCTGGGACTACGTCCCCTAAAGCGTCGAAACTAAATTACAAAGAGTGTCGAATAAAATAAACATTCGTGCATTTATATATAAAAAAAAAGTAACTACAATGGAAGATACAAGAGTAAAGTAAGTAAAGAAAATACAGATACTAATAGCTAAAAAATGATTTACAAGAGCCGTAGGGCAAAAAAATAGTTTACACAATAATCTCAAGATACGCTCAGGTCTACCGACAGAAGTCTCATGCACTTAAAGATGAGAACAGGAATTTATATAATTTCGCCTTAAGGTTGTATGACCCCTTAGAAGAAAAAATGCCAAATTCTTCAAACTTTGTCAGGTGATGAGTATTATAATAATAAAGCATTGTGCCAAGTTTAAACAAGTTTGCGAGGCCCGTTCAAAAGTTATAACAATTTGAATTTAACATGGGCTCTGATGGGAATTCATCAAGTTTCACTGTTTTTTCAACTTCATTTGAGAAATTAATATCGAAGAAAATATGGCATCCTTTTAAAACTTTGCAGAAATATTAATAAACATCTTACAAACAAATTAGAACAAAAAAAATTATGACTTCGAGGATATTTTCTGAAATATTAAATAAAAACCATACAGAGAACAGTCTCGTTTGGTCTCGCAGAACTCGTAAGTACAGAGATCCGGCAACAGCGCACTATGACGTCACATTAAAACCTCTCTCTCCGTCACTCTCCGTAAAGAATAACAAATACTACAGAGGTCCGTTACTTTTTCCAATAGAGCCTCCTGTGTATCGAAAGTGTGCTCTGAGCACGTGTAATATACAGACGCATCGTTTGAGGTTAGTTCTCGCTTGCGCTACGAAAATGCCGAAAGTAAAACGTTACATGTGGAAAGGAAAAGTTGTCACTGAAAAAGTGTACAATCAACGGTTAGCACAGACAAATACTGGGAAACGTAATTTGAAGACACGAGTCGAAACACTCGAAACCACACCAGATGATTGTAACAATTGCACATGTAACGTTTTACTTTTGGCATTTTCGTAGCGCAAGCGAAAACTAACCTCAAACGTTGCGTCTGTATATTACACGTGCTCAGAGCACACACTTCGCGTTCACGCAGCTGATGTCGAGTGAGATCAATGCTACCAACTTACAGAAAATGCGACGTTGTCGCGATCAAAATACTTTTTTATGAGAGCTATTGTATTTAATTTATTAATTCGGTATAGTTAAACGGCCTGACTGGCAAGTTTTATTAAGTATATCACAACGACGTTTCGACCACTAATTTGGATCCTTTTCAAGTTGTTTTAACAATGCTGGAATGAAAGAGTATATAAAAAATTTGAAAATTAAAAATTAAACAACATTACGCGTTGAACGGATTTACGATAAAATCGGTAAATAAGACTTACATGGATCATTGTGCGTCAATTATATAAAATTCGTGGCGGGTCGGAAAAATACAACGGTCTCATGTGAAGGCCGAAAAACTAATGATACAATATCGCAAAATACAGTAAACATAGAAGGAGAACTTAAAGTGATACCTTATCGCAAAATACAGTAAACATAGAAGGAGAACTTAAAGTGAAGAAATTATTCGATCATAGACCAATGGCAGGTTTTCAGTGTCTTTCTGTGAGTTGATTGCCCCTTTATGTTTTTTAATGAATAGCATTTCAGAAATTTCACGTTTTTTTTAATTTTGTTCTTTATGTAAGATTGTAACATCCTGCCATTTGAAATTATGGTCGCAATCTGTTCTATGCTTACTGACGACCGAATGTTGGATGGGGGGTTTTTTAATATCTGCGCGATGCTCCTTTATACGCGTTTCTAAATGTCGCTTCGTTTGTCCGATATAACATGCATTGCAATCAGAACAGTCGAGTTTATAAACGACATCAGTGCATCTCTTGATCTCCAATCTGTCCTTCCCTTTCCTGATTAGTGTATCCATTTTCTTAGGGACCGTATACAAGGTGTTCAAACCGTAATTATTGAACGTACGGCGTAATCCCTCACTAAAAGTTTTTACGTAGGGGATGGGAACATAATTTTTCAGATCAAGAGTAAATGCACTGTCTTTGTTGTTAACGCTATCCTCATTATTCGATCGTTTGTTAATTTCTGAAATTCTTCTTTGAATATGTTTGTTCACCAACAGGTCAGGAAAACAGTTATTAGACAATATGGTTTTCACTAACTTGATGTTATCATCGTGAAACTGTTCATCCGACAATAGTATGGCATGGTCAACCAGATTAATGACCGTGTTAATCTTGTATTTCAAAGGATGACTGGAGAAAAAATTAATATACCTGCCAGAGAACGTTGGTTTTCGATACCAGTTGGTGAACAAACAGTTACCGTGTCTAAAAACAGACGTGTTTAAAAAATTCAGGGTGTTGTTCTTCTCGAGTTCATACGTGAATTTGAGACGCGGATGATAGTTGTTAAACGTACGGACAACCTCATTAAGTTTTGGCTGCGGAATGCACATAAAAATGTCATCGACATAACGAAGAAAAATCTCGATATGAAAATCAAAGGATTGAAGGCAGCAAGTCTCCAAATCGTCCATAACGATATCGGCTAAAATAGGCGAGAGGGGGGAACCCATTGGACTACCGAAGATTTGTTCGTAGAACTCACCGTCAAAAGAAAAACTAGTGGAGTTAAGAATCAT